ATAAAATTGACTTCGACAAAGTAGATAAGTTAAGTAGAATGCCGAGAATATGCATGGCGGTGCAGGGGCGGATCCAGCATTTTTAAAAGGTGATGCGAAATTTCTTTAATAGAACTCCCCCCCCCCTCTTAACATCCTTAGGGTTTAAGTATAGTCAATTTCAAAAGTGGAGGGACTAAAAAAGGCGTAGCAAGTGTGGGGCTGACATGCCCCGGACGGCTTTTTTCAGGAGTGACGCCGCTCTTTATGTCATTTAATAATAACTAAATTTGTTTTGTATTGCTTTTGCACTATTTATCTTTTATAAAAATTTTCATAAATGTTGCCTTGGCTATTTCGTTCATAAATTAGACATGTATTTTTAAGTCTAATTTACTTAACAAAGAGCACCAACGAGAAGGTAAGCCATAGGACTTGGCACTTCATCTGTGTACTATTATTTTGCCGAAGGTTAGCCTTCAATTTCTGGGTACATTCCTTTTCTTGAGAGGCACGTAATGTGAAGTAATGTTGCCTTGTGTTAGCCCTCTATTTCTGGGTTCTTACCTTTTCTTGATAAGCTCGTAATGTAAAGTAATATTAGGTTATTTATTAATGTAAAGTAATATCAAGTTAAATAATATTAGAACTATAAAGGTTACCCCTCCATTTCTAGATTTTATGTAAAGTATTAGTAATCTTATTTAAGGTTAACCCTGCATTTTTAAATTCTTTTCTTTTTTTGATAGGAATTTTTTTTTTAATTTATTTATTAATTTTTATAATATTTTATTATTAAAGATCAATTAATATAAAATAAATATAGGCTAACAGTCTCTCTCTCTCTCTCTCTCTCTCTCTCTCTCTCTATATATATATATATATATATATATATATATATATATATATATATATATATATATATATATATATATATATATATATATATATATATGTATATATATATATATATATATATGTATATATATATATATATATATATATATATATATATATATATATATATATATATATATATATATATATATATATATATATATATATATATATATATATATATATATATATATAACTGAAATACTTCTTTCACATTCACAAGATGTTATTGGAATTGTTCCTAATATATAAATAAACACTTTTCTTATATTTGGAAAACTTCTCATGCCAATGCCCTTTAAACTACAAGCAACAGTTATAGGAATATTTGACTGGTTTTTCAAAAATAATTCCCATAAATCTAAGTCAGCATGTATTGAAGTAAAAATGAGGCATATTCAAATATATAGAAATTTTGAAATTCATAAAAATCAGATTTCCATGGTTTCTTAACTTGTATTCTGGACAGTAAAGTTAAAGGAACTGGTGCTAGACCTTTATAGTTAAACATAACATTTTCTAGAAACCTATTATCTAGCTCATTAATAAAATGTTCAATTAATGGAGAAGTAAAGTCACAAACTGTATTTGTAGGATAATTATACTGGTAAACCTGAAAAGTACGCAATCTAGGTCTCATTTCTTGGATATCAAGAGTAAAACCAAAAGCTAAACTAAAAGCAATAGCTACTACAATTAAACTAAGCCTATGGCTTGTACAACAAACAAAAAAAGCATTATGTTTTAGAGCTTTTATTAAAGAAGCAACTCCTTTATATTCACATCCCATAAATCCTGTACCATCATACCCTTGGCTTCAACAACTTTGAATATCCAAAAAGTGTGTTGAAGTACATTAAGTAATTTTAGTAAGTAAAAAATTTAGAGATAGACTAAGACCAGATGTACCAGACTTGAAATCAATAAATGTTAGAAAACAATCGCAAATCTCATTGATTGAATTTACATATCTTAAAAAAAGTGACATTTGTTCAGTATTTAAGCAGTCAATTGCTTCATCACAAAGAATTAAAAAAAAAATTGAAATGCTTTACATATATTACTAAATGCACCTCAATTGTTTTTCCACGAGTATCAATAAGTTGGTTTAGGGTAGTTTTTATAAAGGTTTTTGATATAAAACTTTTTGTAAAGGTCTTTGATAAAATGGTTTTGATATAAAGGTCTTTGATAAAAAGTTTTTTACAAAGGTCTTTGATATAAAGGTTGCATTTTTTGGAGTTTGAAAAAAGTGATTAGCTAATATTTGATCACCAGCATTTACGCAAATTTTTAAAAGCTGTAAGAAGTTACCTCCTCCGACCAAGAAATATCGTTTTTTTAATTATTGGAACAAATTTTTTTCAGTTATCAGATAAAACAAGAAATATATCAACCTCAATAACATTATTTGGGGTTGCAACATGAACATAATGCATTGTAAAACACAACTTTTTTCATGTTTTTTAAAATCATGAACAACATTACCACATTGTTGATGAAGTTTGAAAACTATATTTAGTATTCTAGACTTGTTTGGAATACTAGCACATAGCAAAGTATAAAGGAAAACAGTAAGCTGATGTTTATTGCTAGAATAAGCTAACCAAAAAAAGTGGCTGAGTCATTCAATTTTAAATTATCTTTTTGTATTAGTCTATTAAATATCTATTGAGCAGATATTGGAAAAACATATATGAATTAGGACAAAATACTTTTTTTACTATATCTAACAAAATTGCATCGTTTTTACCAGCTGTTAAAAGTTTACCATGGGTTAGATATGTTGAAACATCATATAAAGTATTTGAGTCTTTATATAAAGGAATATTAACTGAATTGGAATCTAATCACTTAAATGTATTATAGAATCTACAGAAATTTCAAAAGGCAACTCTATAAAAGCATTGTCTTTTTTGAAGTTAGTTTTAGATCGAATTTGGACATGTTTTGCAGAATTAACTTTTTTTGTAAAAGAAACAGAGAATTGTTTTTTTATTTGTTTTATTTTTAAGACTAAGTGTAAAGGATAAATAAAAATAAAAAAAAGTATATAAAACAAGATCAGTTTAAATTATTTTTCTAGCTGGAAATATATAACAACATTAACTTTAGTAATAGGGATTACGTTAAAGTAACATAATCTTTACCATCTACTGGCTTCCGGATAAAACAATCAATTTTAAAATTTTCAAGACTGATGCACTGGACACTTGTTAGTTAAAATTTTTATTTCCTTAGTTAACTGATTTTTACATTTACGAATATTTTGCAAATACCTAGCCTTAATTACATTTGAAGCTAAAAAATTCTTCTTTGTTTCAAAACTTTAATTTACAAGCAAAGTCATACGACAAAAGTTACGAGCAAAGTACGTATATCAGAATACGAACCTGATATGGCATATCAGGATTTTGTAAGTTTTGAACGATTTGGAGCAACTGATGCAATTGTTTTAAACTTTTTACAAAATTGATTGGTTAATAAAAACATTCTCCAATCATATTTGAAACATTTTTGGATTTTTTTGCGGAAGGTTTGTAGCAACTGATGCAATTGTTTTTTTAATAAATAGTGATTGGTTTAAACTGTTTTTTAATCAATCATTTATGATTTAGAGAACAATTGCATCACTTGCTACAAAGTGGTAGGAAAAATTTGAAAAAAAATGTACAAATGCGATTGGTTAAAGCCTAAAATATTTATTCTTTAACCAATCACATTTGTATTTAGTGACGAACAATTGCATTAGATAAATAATTATAGAGATCAAAACAAATCGACTTTAGATGCAATAATTTTTTCGAGTTTAAAATAAATTCAATATTTTTTTAGAATATCAGATTCTAATATCAACTCTAACTTTTTATTATGAAAAAAAAAGTGAAAAAGAGATACACTTAAATTTAGCGGTACTAAAGGACTGATGCACGCGCATCAGTGGCGACACCCTAAATCCGCTTCTGGTATACTTTAATTATTTAAAAAAGCTAATCTTCACAATGCTGGGAAATAATCCTGAGATTCATTACCGACAGAATTAGTTTTATATATAACAACTTAACTCTATATTGTTGTAGTTTGGCAAAGTAGATAAAGTTAATACCAGTGAGTCCAGAGATCTATTTTTTTTTCTAGTCTTTCCGAAGAGCCTAATTTTTTTAGTTTCTGTTAATTAAAAATGCACTTTATTTTTTGTTTTTTAACGTTATAACTATTATTATTTATTAACTATAAAAATTTTAAAAAACTTAATTTATTTGGTGGAGCAATAATTCATAAATCGACTGAATTTTAGGGAGAGCGCTCAAAGCCCAGTTTAGTAAATTGATTGTATGTCTGCCCAATCTGAATTTTTTTTGTTTCACATATAAATACCTACTAATTGTAAAAAAAAAATTTATTCACGCTTATCAAAGGGTCTTTTTTTGGTAATAATGTTTCTGAAATTATTTAAGTCATTTGACATTGTTTAGATGTAAAATTTGCAGTAAATGCCCCTAAAATTATTAAAATATTAATAGAAGAAAATCCTGAAATTCCAGCGAAAGTACAGCATAAGAAAAAACAACAAATGGACTATAGCCAAAGTATTGTAGATTGTTAAGAAACAATAACTAAATCTCTAAAGCAATTGTACTTGTATTTTGTTAATAAAAAATTTAATGTCACATTTTAATTTTTTTATTTATTTTTTGTTTTATTAAGAGTCTCGATTCGAGACCATGCGATAATATACAATTCTTTTTATTATCGGTATCGTTTGGTATTGATGCGATACTGATAGTATCGACATTGGTACATAAGCGATACAACACGATACGAGACCATCCTTCTCGGTATCGAGTGGTATCGAACCGATTCTTAAAAAAAGTATATTTATATGTATATGCCATCCAACGGGGTTTTCCTAGAAATTGCCATGCTTAAAGCGATTTCCTTAACATTTACAAATTGTGTTGAATCATGGCCTATTTAATTTACAAATGTAAATTAAGTTGGCTATGGCTAAACATGTGCTTATGATTCTGCTACTATGTTGATAAGCTACTATAATATAGATTAAATAATGTTAAAGTAAAACGCCATTATGAAAAACTTTGACTTAAAAAATAAAAAAACGGTTTGTATTTCTTTAATTATATTTAAGAAATTTATTGTATTTATGAAAATATTTTTCCAGTTCCAGTGTAATTGGTTGATGACTTCTTTACCGTTCTTTTTGCTTGTACCTAATTTCCAATTTTCTTTATTGTTGGAACTTTCCCACCTTTTATAGGTTTAAATTTACAATTGCAAGCGTTTGAAACTAAATGACACAAAATTCAAAAAAAAAATTGTTAAGTGCAAAACATAAATATATACTTACAAAATTTTTATTAATTTGTGTATAAAATATTTTGTAAAATTAAATATATATTAAAAAACAGAAGCAATAAATCACTTAAAAATTTTTAACAAAATTTGTTTAAACAGTATGTTTAATAAAATTTATTTGAGTATAATGACTTTATGGATAATATTTTAAATTAAAACGTATAATATATACTTTTAAGTAAGTTACAACAATGCCTTTTAAACGATCGGTTCAACATAATGATTTAATTTTTTTTAAATTACATAGCATTAATGATAAAAATTTGTAATAAATTAAAATATTTTAAAGATTTCAAAACTATATTGGGTTTTACAGTAAGTTTTATTTTTTTGTTTGAATTTAGTTTTATAAATTACTTATGCGCATAATTATAAAGTACAAACTGGTATTGAATTCAAATTGATAGTTTTTATGAGAACTCTCCAAGGCTTTCAAAATACTGTGTTGTAACCTATCTCAATCATTGTTGCAACTTGCCTCGCTACAGGGTAATTTGCAACAATTTTTTTTCTTTTTTTTTTTTAATTATTGTGGGTTAACTAAGTTTTATATCATATTTATCATCGTTAGATAAATACATTGCCAAGATCTATTTAACAATCCTGCAAAAATAAAAATAAAAATCTAAATTCCAAAATCCCCTCCCCCCCCCCCCAAAAAAAAAAAAAAAAAAAAAAATTTAAACAACTTAACAAATTGTGTTGCAACTAGCCCCGGCGGTCTCCCCTACAAGTATTTTTAATTAAAGAAATAAAAAATTACTTACAACAGAAAGCTCCAGTTCCAGAAGGACAACAAAAATAGTTTTCATTAAGATAGTAAAGATCTAAACCAAAAAGCGTTTTTTTCAAAGTTTTTTTTTCAACTTTTAAAAGTTAAAATCAAGAAATTTATTTAAAAAAAAAACGACCTTTTTAATATAAAAAATATGCCTGTTGATATAAAAAAATTTATTCATGCCATTTTGTCATAAAAACGCGTGTAAGTTATATTTGTTTCGAACTTATTATAGTCTGATGAATGGTGTTTTTATTGGTTATGAATATATTCTCCGATGACTAATGGTTTTATTGGTTGTGCATTTCTCTGGTGCATTCTCTGATGCATTCTCTGATGCATTCTCTGATGATGACTTATGGTGATTTATAGTGCGATTTAGTTTTTTATTTTTTATTTTATCCTTATTTATTACAAGTATCAATGATTCATTTTCAGTAATATTTCAATTTGTTTGCATTGTTGCTAATGTTTGAGAAATCTTTTCCATTACCATTTTATAATAATTTATTTCAGTAATAAACTTGTTCTAGAAATATGCTTCAGTAATTTGTTTCTAAAAAATCTCAATATTTTTAAAACCAACAGGTCCGAATTAACGTGTTACTACTAACGTCTAATGCATTACAAAAAATAACAAATAACTAACATAAAAATGTTATGTAACAAGTAAAAAATATCACATATTATGCTAAAAGAACTTTTTATCAAAATGCTAGTAAAAGTTAACTAAAATGTACCCCTGGCGAAAAGTTATATTTATCGATAAATTTTAAATTTTATACTTTTATCTATTAGCGTTTAAAAATTATGACCATATAAAATTTATATCGTCTTTATTTTGAGAGGGTTACAAAATTTGTATGGTTAAAACTTGTAACCCCCTCAAAATATTGTATTTGCTTCACGTCTTCTCAGTAAGTAAATTTATAAAAAGTCATTTTTGTCACAAAATACTAAATATTGGGACGAATAAAGAAATCAATTTCAAAATATGACTTATGTTAACTTTTGAGATCACTTTAATAATTTTAATAATCATTTTCTCGTTTCCTAAATTTTTGATTAAACTCGTTGCATAAACATTAAACATTGCCGCATAAATTAAAAAAAAACAAAAAAAAAAAACAATATTTGTACCCATAATTACTAGCAGTTGTCAACCAAATACGTTCATGTTATATATATATATATATATATATATATATATATATATATATATATATATATATATAAATATATATAAATATATATATATATTTATATATATATATATATATATATAAATATTATATATATATATATATATATATATATATATATATATATATATATATATATATATATATATATATATAAATATATATAAATATATATATATATATATTTATATATATATTTATATATATATATATATATATATATATATATATATATATATATATATATATATATATATATATATATATATATATATATATATATATATATATATATATATATATATATATATATATATATATATATATATATATATATATATATATATATATATATATATATATATATATATATATAACTATAAACGTTTATAGTTATATATATATATATATTTATATGGTAGGCTCTCTTGTCAAACCCCTATTCCGACGTTGAGCGTCCTTTGCGTCCGTGAGCTTGTATTTCTAGAAAATAGGTGAAATGGGGTATATAGGGATTTGCGCTGCGGTGTGCACATACACCGACTGATTTTTAGAGAAAACATGCAGCGGAGTGTGGAAACAACGACTGAGGGTTTGGAGTAGGCAGGTTCTCTTTTAAATAAAAAAGTCGTTTTTTTACATTTTCGGACCTTGAGGACAGCGTCGGAATAACGGTTTTTTTTTTTTTTTTTTTCTTTTTAAATGTTGATTTAGGTGCCCCAAGAAGTCCTTACGGTCTTATCAGAGAGCACCGCGGAAGAGCATTTAATAGGAAGTTCACGCCTCCTTCCCAACCGATGTCGCATAACTTGTCCAGAAGTGGGGTTTGAACCACGGATCTTACGTTTCTGAGGCAAGTGCGTTACCACTGCGCACGGCTGCGCGGTTTGACAAGAGAGCCTACCTATTTATATATATAACTATAAACGGGAATTTATTTAACCGGTGTCGAAATTCGATAGCAAAAACCTTTTTTTGTGGCTATATGCCGAAACCAATTCACTTTTTTTATTTAACAAACGTTCTTTATTATATATTGAAATAAAATATATATATATATATATATATATATATATATATATATATATATATATATATATATATATATATATATATATATATATATATATATATATATATTGATAAATAAATTGTATATACATTTAAATTTATAAAAGTATCTTTACCTGGATAATCTATGGGGCAACAAGTAAAGCCGGCAAAAGTAGTCCCTTCTGTCTGTTGGCCAGTAAAATCTTTTCTTCCTCTTAACACAGTTCCACTCGGACACTAAACAAAAAGATTTTATCTATAAATATAATTGACAATTAGTTTCAAAATATAAATTAAAAAAAAGAGAAGCAGACAAAACGTTGAAAGTTTTAACCAAAATTTATTTTAGTCTCGTTTCTTTTTACATTTTTTATTTTGACAACATTATGGTGCTTCATAGTTTTTCCATTTGGTATCATTGACTTTTATGTTCTAAATCAATTTTGGATATAAAAGGAAGAATTGTCTCTAAGTTTAACAATAATCATCTTAAACTAGAGGGGCGTCAATGCTGACTCAGCATATGCGTCCAAATATTCTTGTACATCAGGTATGAAGGAAACTCCAAATATTGATATGGCTATAAACATATTAAATAAAAATGCTTTACAAAAAACTGCAATCATTGGAGCCTGGGTACAAAAAGCCCTAAAATTTCAGCTACAACTGCTTCAAACGTGACAGCAACAAGTTTATAAAATATTTTTTACTATTTTTTATATTGATGAATATAAGTTTATATTCATCAATAACTTTTAAAATTCAAACAATGATTTCTTAGCGTTCAAGAATTATGGCCTTAAAAAATATGAACTCCTTAAATTGAGGGGGTTCAAAGTTTTTGTGGGCATATGTTTTAAACGCTAATAGGTTATAGTATAAAATTTAAAACGCATTGATAAATATAACTTTAGTCAAGAATAGTAAAAAAAAATATTTTATCAACTTGTTGAGCCCTAAACTTTTGAAAATTTTAGGGCTTCTTGATTCCCAGGCTTCAATCATTGCAACTTTTTGCAAAAGCATCATTATTTGACATAAGTATAAATATATAAATGTTTGGAGTTTGCTTTATTTCTGGAAGTTAATCTCAAACGCTAAAAAATGCTGCATCCGCGCGTGATCCTAAAATTAAAATTCTGATCGGTAATAACTTAGGAGTTATTTAGGTGAAAAGGTAATAGGTAATATATTTAGGTGCATAAGCTAAAGTACAAGGCTAAAGTAATAGACAGAAAAGATAAAGCAGAAAGTGACCATTCTAATTTTTAAAATGACTGTTTTAAGAAAGTCAAGCTAATGAATATAATGGCATAACTATTTACTGATCCCTGTATTTTACTAAGTCCTTTACTCTAGTTTTTTTTACTGTGGTCCTTTTGTGTAAAATTTGTAAAAAACGTAAAGTATGTCATAAAAAGTAGACAAGGCGGTAAGGGCCCGAAAAATCCTAACCTGTGTAACGAACTTATAACGAAGTTTATTCTAGTAAAAGTTTTAAAATAATTTATTATAACTAATAATAAATTATTTTAAAACTTTATAATTATTGTTAATAATAAATTATTTAATAAGTATAGTAACCCTATTTTAATATTTAAAAGTTTCCGTAAACAAAACTTTCAAAGCGTAATATTTACAGTCATACCGCAATTATTACGTTTTATTTCATAGCAAAATCATTCGCTAGATAATATAATCTTTTTTGTACTAAAAAGCGCAAAATAAACTTTTTAATTTAAATTTAATAGTTCAGTTAATTAAATATTGGCAGGTCTACACAAGATTCATTTCAAAACAATCTTACCAATCATTAGTTTACTGAACCTATTAAATTTAAATTAAAATCTTTATATTGTAATACAAAAAAGATTATATTAATTAGCAAATGTTTTTGCTATATTTTATTTTCTACTTTTTAGTCTTTACAATAAGTTAAGGCATTTAACAATGCAAATTATTGCTATATAGCATTGTTATTACTGTCGTAATATTATTATTAAACAGTGTTCAGACTACAAGAAATAGGAAGAAGGGTTGTGATTAAGTTCCTTTGTAGCAAGTAACATTGGCGCAATATTAGTACAATATCTATCTCAATATTTGCTAAATGTTCTTAAGAATATTTCACCAATATATAGTGCATTTTGATATATATATATATATATATATATATATATATATATATATATATATATATATATATATATATATACATATATATATATATATATATATATATATATATATATCATATATATATATATATATATATATATATATATATATATATATATATATATATATATATATATATATATATATATATATATATATATATATATATATATATATATATATATATATATATATATCGTTCCCTCAGTATTATCTTGTTCTATCTACAAATGTAATAAATAAAATGTTTCATCTAATATATAAAATAAATACAAAAAAAAATACAAATAAATAAAATGTTCTACCTGATATAATATATTATATTACATAAAACATTGAATTTATTTATATATAATTTTTTTTGTATTTATTTTATATATTAGATAGAACATTTTATTTATTACATTTGTAGATAGAACAAGATAGTACTGAGGGGACGATATATCTAGCAAATACTAATTTATAATATAGGCTATATAAAAACTGCAATTTAATTTTTATCATAATTAATTAAACAACATTAAAATTAAAAAAAAGGACATCCTGAGGAGGGATTGAACTCGCAACTCTGTAAGCCACACCTCATTATTTAATATTATGCCCACAAGGCTACACTAGTCTATTATTTAAAAAAAAATTAAAGAATTTAAACATTTTGCGCACAAATTTCGCACAACAAATAAGGTCGCGTAGAAATAAGGTCGCACTACGCGAATAAGTTTACAACGTAACAAATAAAAATCAAATTTGTGGACAAGTTACTTAATGAAAAGTCTGGTCAAGTGAAAAAAAAGATTATAAAAAATTGCTGCTTTCAAATCATGCTTTTAAATATTTTGTATAAACGCAAATACTCAAATAAAAATAAAGTATAATTTCTATTTGACTTTTAAAGACTTTTCAACAGTTCAGGAAATGCTTGTTTTATAAGTCTTGAAGCGCAATATTAGCAGGGCCGTCCCGATGAGGTCTCTCATGGGGGTGTATCGTATGTATTTTTTAAGGCAAGGTCCTCGTTATTTGATAATCGTCAACTATTCTTCAAAACTTGCCAACTGAAATGCTAGATGTAGGGGAAAGTGGTCTAAAACGGGCCCTTTAGATGAGATGGGCCTCTATCAAATCTCCTGCTTAGTCAATAGTTGCTATAAATTTAAATGTAGAATATTGTGCAGCAGACTATAAACATTTAAGAAAATCATCCGAAAAATAGTTTTTTTCATTGTTATCTTTTGGCAAAAAGAATATTTGAAAGTAGTACTTTTGAAAATTTTTTGAGCTAAATATTTTTTACTGTAATCGTAAAAAAGATGTTTATTGTGTTACTTTGATACTTTTTAAAGCTTTAACATGTAATCTTTTTATTGGCACAAGATTTTTATGAGAATGTTCTAACAATTTATGTTTTTCACTATATATTGTTAACAAACTCCAAACCGGTTGAAATGGGCCCTGGGGCCCATTTTACTCGTGCAATTAGAAGTATTTTACAGCAAAATGTTTCAGCTTAGTGTCAGTTAAAAAAAGAATAAGTTGGCAATATTATTTATGTCGTAACGGGTTTCTTAGTTTTTTTTATTTCAAAAAGTTATTTGCAACGACTTCCTTTGCTATTTTTATTGTAATTTAAAGCAGATGCTATGTATTTATATTTTTAAAAATTTGTATAATCTTTTATTCGTGTCATTTATTTACATATATATTTAAATATAGATGTAAACATTAGTGCACCAATGCTTGGAACAATCTCCCTAAAATTGAAAACTCAATTTCTCGATATATTTTTCTCAGTAAATTAAAAAAACACTATCTGGATAGCTACTAGAATAATAACATCAATAAAAGCAATAAATCACTGTTATTAGTCATTAAAAAATACTCTCTCTTGTATATATTTTTTATTTTTAAACCTTTTTTTTTCGAAGAATCTTTACATTTATGTACAGCTTTTCTTGTCGTTCTTATACAAAAATGTGTATGTGCGTATGCATGGGTGGGTATATGTATGCGTATGTGTATAGCTACTTGCGAGCAGTATCTCCTATCATTGCTGTTAATGGTTTTGTTAAGATTGGCATTTTCCCGATAAATCGAAATTTTTTTTACAGACAATAACTTTGCCGCAGCACTTTCAACTAATATTCCTCTGCAGTTGCCCAATAAAAAAATAACTTTAGAAGATGTTTCTGGGCAAACATTAATCTCGCCACAGCAGATTCTAGACATTGCTCAAAATGAGGAACTGCTCATTGAGCTTCAGGCCTCAAAAGTTGTAAAGCCAGTTGCAAGTCATGTTCTGACACTAAGTCTCAACTTTTCAGAGCCAGTTGTTCCACCGACAGTATCAAATAAAAACCAATATTTTCCCTTGACAGAGTTCCTCCTATTCCAAAGATTATTAATCCTCGAAAAAAAATAATGTTATTAAAAGAAAACCGAAAGTTGTTAACAGAAATCAAAAGAGGAAAAGAAAAAAAAAATTACGAAAGTCAAAAAAAGACCACGCTTCGTCAAAGGAATTGATAAAAATAAAAAAACCCAATAAAAAAAAAGCAATGTTATGTGCTAAAACATTGAACAATAAAAATAACTAATCTTTATAAAAATTTATAAAAAGCACTTATGTTTATTGTATTTTTAGATATTTTTTTAAATTAAACATATTATCTTTTAACTCGCACAAGATTAGTTCGAGAGCTGTCACTTAAATTTAGGCCCATTGTACATTCTGCCTCAGTTAAGTTTTCAAATTTTAATGTGAACAATGAACAGAAGATTATGTACATTAATAAATTAGTTATAACTTCTTATTTAATTTCTGAATAAAATCTAAATTTTAAACAATTTTTGTTTAAAATTTAGATTTTATTCAGAAATTAAATAAGAAGCCCATTTTAGGCTACCTCAAGGGTAAAACGGGCCCCTAGCATCTCTTTGTTCAACGCTTATTTCCTAATGTAAGGCATAGCCACATCTTTACTTTTTTGATGTTAAATTGTTGAGCATAGATTGAATTTTCTGAAAAATACTTTGTTTGTAAATTTCGGTTGGTTATAGCT